GAGACTGTAATGAGATGGGCGGGGATTGGGTGTGCTGGGCTTCTCTAGGCAGATGAATAGTAAGAGCCACAGCAGTAATAGTGTCCGCCAAAGAGGCCTATAGACAACTGTTCTTGTGTTGCTAGTTTTTGCTCTAGTTCTTACTGTCTATATTGTGAACCACTGAAACTACATAGAGAAAGGACAGCAGGGGCCACTTGGCTAACTTGCAGGGCTGTGAGCACTGCACCGCACCCCTCCACTGGGGAGTATTGGGTAAGCACCCATCGGAACACCTATCCCCTGACCCTCGTCGTCCTTGCTGGCTGGTTGTCATCGCATACCCAAGCCGAAGCATGCAATTTCAGTTTGCCATGAATGTTTCATTTTGGACACTACAGGACACTTTCAGGTATCATTTCTTAGCATAATTGTTTATTCTTTTTAAAGAACTGTGCTAACATTATTGCTACTTAGCAGTTGTTTTTAATCTGGTGAAAATACAGGTCAGTGGGCAATGAAAGTTCTATCACACTTGTCTTCTCACCCATAAAAATTGCATAAAGCTCTGAAGCCAGCTTTGGCTAAAGGAGCATGATCCACCCCTCAGAGGATGAAGAGCAAACCTGCTGCAAGCTTGTGACAGCAGACACTCTCTTCTGCCAAGAGTTGTGAAAAGCCAGTCTTAGTTGTCAAAACCAGCACCACATGCCGGGCGCGGTGGCTCACGCCTGTAATCCCAGCACTTTGGGAGGCCGAGGCGGGCGGATCACAAGGTCAGGAGATCGAGACCAAGGTGAAACCCCGTTTCTACTAAAAATAAAAAAATTAGCCGGGCGCGGTGGCGGGCGCCTGTAGTCCCAGCTACTCAGGAGGCTGAGGCAGGAGAATGGCGTGAACCCGGGAGGCGGAGCTTGCAGTGAGCCGAGATCGCGCCACTGCACTCCAGCCTGGGCGACAGAGCGAGACTCTGTCTCAAAAAAAAAAAAAAAAAACAAAAAACAAAACCAGCACCACGGCACATGTTGTTCATGTCTGAGAGAGAATAAACTCAGAAGGAAGTCTTGTGCACATGGAAAACTTTTGTTCTTACTCTAGGATGTCACCTACATGACTTAAAACCCAGCCCAGCCATCCCAGACCTAAGGGCTTCTTCCCTCTCCAGGGCAGGGCCTGCGTGCAGTCCGTGCTGCTGCCCTGTCTTGGTGGCCTGTGTGCAGCCTGCCCATCCTCTGGATTCCAAACCAAATGCATCATCAGTGGAGGGAGAGCTCAAGTGCCAGGTGGAGCTGTGGCCTAAGGTCACACTTCATCACTCCAGATTATGAATCGTGATTTGCCAAATCTCCAAATTGCTGAGTGTGGACAGCAGATGGATTTGTTTCTGCTGACTGGGTGCAGAGAAGCAGCCAGTCCTCAACTGTGCTTGAAGTACTACAGGTAGTAGTAAAAGTAGCTTTTCCAAGCCATTTAAATAAATGTCATTAAGAGTGGCCAAGTTGTTTGGGAGCCATGGCATCATGGTGGTGGATAACAGGTGGAAGGAAGGAAGGCCACCTCCCATTTGGCCTGAGTTACCTCCACCAATGACAGTGGTCCTTAACTGGAAGTAACTGGAGGAAACATCATACAGGTTATTTCAACCCGAGATTGGAAAGACCACCTTGATCAGAGAGAGTTTTCCTTCCACGTGATACATATCCAACCTGAGTCCTCCAGCCCCTCTCCCTGCACGACCTGATGGAGGCTTGAGAAAGCACTTGGCTTGAAAATGTTCCTAAGGAAAAGGAAAGTGTGAATTCTGAGAACCGAATGGCAGAATTGAAGTTTCACGTATGGCAAAAGCCAGAACAGATTATTATCAAATAGATGATTTGTGAACGTTGAAAAGACAGCTGTGGCCTAGGACACCAAACCAATGCCGTTGGCAAGATGTCACCAAGACCTTTGACAACATCTCATCAGCTTATGAGAGACGTTGGTGACATGCAGAATGGATAATGATAGTGCAATAAAGTGGGTTTGAAACTGATTTAAAATGTTCATTAACCCCTTGAACACAGAGTTCTGGACTCTTTGACCTGACCTGTTTGACATTTTCATCAATAATAACTTGAACGAAGTTGTAGAGGTTTACTAATCAAATTTAGGCATGATGCAAGTTTGAGGGAGATGATTAACAGCAGATAACAAAACTAGAATTGAAAAGAATTGGTTTTGGTTGGCTGGAAAATGATCAGATGGAATTTAACAGAAATATGTACAGTCCTAGACTTAAAAGGTCAGGTAGGATTTGAGAGACCTGACTCGAGAGCATTTTATGTGAAAATTCCTGAGTGCTTTCAGCAGGCCCAGCTTAACTGGCCACACCAGTGATGCAGCTCCTTACACAAGAGTGTGCACAGACACACACACACATGCACACTCCTCATGCATTCCTCTGCTCTCATTGAAGCTAAGGGCCCAGACTGTCGGAGGGCAGCAGCCTCACTGCTCATTGCCCCAGTGAGACCACACCCATGGTGTCACACTCAGTTCTGGGCACGGTGTTCTGAGATGGTGTGCACAAATGCGAGGGGACTGGGCTGAAAGGAACTGGATCCTGAAACACAGGAATGAGCAAAGGCAGCCACGGCCCTCATACTGGGAGTTCACAGCGGTGGGGAGAAGCTATCGCCCCACACACACAGCTGCAGGGAGCCCAGGACAGAAGTCAGTGGGGCCATGAGGACTTCACTCTGGGAGCCTTCTAGTCTGGGAGACATGGGAAAGGGCAGGGGCCCCAAGACTCACCAGGGGAAGAGGAGTCAGCAGGATCAGGGCAGAGGGCAGAGACGGCAACAGGCAGAACAAGCCGCGGTGCCCACAGGCCAGGGTGGGGGCCGAGAAAAGCCAGTGGTTGAGGGAGGAAGGAGAGGGCTGTCACACCCGCAAAGCGCTTTATGTAGGAAAAGAGAATAGGGTTGTTCTCGGTTACTTCAAAGGGCAAAATCAAGAGCTGTGGCGTTGTGCGAATGGCAGCTCGTGAGAGGCAGAACGCCAGGGTGGCAGCATTCTCAGCCACCTGGCAGCAAGGCCAGGGCACTCAGCCACAGCTGATGTGCATATGATGCATTAGGAGTGTGCATGTGTGTGTGTGTCTCTGCACGCTCTTGTGTAAGGAGCTGCATCACTGGTGTGGCCAGTTAAGCTGGGCCTGCTGAAAGCACTCAGGAATTTTCACATAAAATGCTCTCAAGTCAGGTCTCTCAAATCCTACCTGACCTTTTAAGTCTAGGACTGTACGTATTTCTGTTAAATTCCATCTGATCATTTTTCAGCCAACCAAAATCAATTCTTTTCAATTCTAGTTTTGTTATCTATTGTTTTGTTATCTATACCACTCTCTCCTCTGGCGGGAAAACAAACTAGAAGGTTTCTGGCTTCGCTGTGCGCTGCCCACCAGCCCCGGGCAGCTGAGCGTGAGTCACCTCAGGGTACCGTAGTGTCCCAGGTGCTGGGCCTCTTGCTGCCCCAGGACACCCCTCCCCACCACAAGGCGTGTAGAGGACACCTAGCAGCCCTTCTTAGCTTCCTAGCCAGGGCTGTGCGTCTGTCCCTGTGCTAAGGGTTGAAAGCAACGTTCCAGGAAGAAGCACACTCAGTGCGTGCGTTTGTAAGCCTAGTCCTCACCCACTGAATGGTCCCATGACATGGGCAGCAGCCCCCGTTTGGAAAAGCCCTGGCTGGACTCCAGCTTCTGAGCAGTGTCCACTGTGTGTCCCTGTTTGCCCTCAGCTCTTCCCTAAGGCTTTTGGGGGAGGAGGCGTCTGGGTGTCTGGGCCTGCGTGGTCACTGGGGGGTTCCCTCCCCGACCTGCCTCTCTCCTGTCTGCACCTTCTTCCTCACCTTGCTGGGTCCTTGGGTTAATTTTGCTCAGAATATCCAGAGTTAGCCACTAGGCTGCGGGTGAAATGGGATGGAAAGGAAGAACAGCAGGCTTTCTGGAGCCACATGCCCGTCCCGTCCTCCAGCCACCCCATGCCATAGTCCCCACTCACACACCCCGAGTCCCCTGAGCAGGGGGAGGGGTGGCAATACTGGGCCCCTTCTCTTTCCACCATGTAACACCAAGTAGCTCGCTCTCTTTCGGAAAAAAAATTGGAAACTCTGACTAAGTCCTCAGGTGAACCCACAAAAGCCTCTTTAATGCGCAAGTGACTGAAAAACTCAACATGTACAAGACTGTTGACTTTTACGAGATGTTATTGCAAGTGCAGTTTAATATAAGTACAAAAAAAGTATTCCTGTGGCAATCTGGGGCCATGAATATTTTTGTAATACATTCTTAATTGGGAAAAAAGGTTGCAAATAAGCTTTAGTAACACTGCCGATTTCGATACTGGAGACTGCCTGTAGAGAAAAGTACAGGAAATCTCCATATGCACAGAATCAGGATTTGTGGTCAAAAACAATGCACGCCTGCTCCTCCCTGCTTCTGGTGGCTTTCGCTACCTCCTCCCCTCGGCTGCTGCCCCAGGCTCAGCCCCCCTTTGCTGCCTGTGTAAGCCCCAGGCTGCGAACGGGACAGCTGTTAAAAGTAGTCCAAGCACCCAAAGGCAGGCAGTTCTGTGGCAGTGGCGCCAGGAGTGTGATGCCAGGGCTGAGCGTGTGTCACCGTCATAGGGAATCACATTTGACGCTGAGGTGTGTGGCCTGGCAGTGAGCCCGGGCAGCTCATGCTGACCTGCTCCCAAGGCCTGGTCCCACTAGGCCACTTGACCCTCAGGAACCCTATGTCTTCATCTGTAGACTGAGGGTTACATACGAGAATGCATATGTATCAGCTACCCCTAGTAAACATTGAAAAATTTGTACCTGGTGTAACTTTTAAGTATCAGATTCCATATTGAAATGAAAATGGTTTGTTTGTAAACAGTTTTGACCTTTGCCACACGGCTCACGTGAGGAACATTTGGGGCCCAGGGATAAGCAGCAGTGTCGTCAGCGCCCTCAGGTTTCTGGGTTTTCTCTGCCTGCAGGTCGCCCGGCTCATGGAGATGGGATTTTCCAGAGGTGATGCTTTGGAAGCCCTGAGAGCTTCAAACAATGACCTCAATGTCGCCACCAACTTCCTGCTGCAACACTGATGGTCCCAGGCCAACACTGGGACCGGACCGGCCGCCGAGTGACAGTGCGTGGTCCCCACCATCAGATCAGCCCGGGGACCGAGCATCTCTGGTGCTGATGTTCTTGTGGGAAGAGGGAGGTTCCACCACACCCCTGCCTTCAACCCCAAGACTGTTGCCATTATAGTATGGAAATAAGTTTGCCATTACATTAGCATGTATTTTCTACCTATATTTTTTATTGGGCATTTTCCCTAGGTTGGAGAGTCATCACTCGTTTTGAATGGGTTTAAAATGCATTAAAATGGAAGATTTCTGCAGGCAGTTGAATGGCACTCCAGATGGGGAATTGCCGTAACCCTCTTACTGTAACGTGTCATCTCCTGCGTTGTGATGGGGAGAGGGTGATGTTATTTCATAAAGGACATGTCAGATCCTTCTTCATTGACTTTTTTAGTTACTGTTTCTTCTCTCAAACTTGTTTTCAAATCTCTTGGGAGTGAGGGAGAAACGGGGAGCTGAATCCTCCCCCGAGCTGTTCCAGGCCAGGGGACTCCGCAGTACCTTCTCCTATATCTAGTAACAAAGAATGGTGATAACCATGCACTGGTTCAAGGTTCTGGAGTTCTCCATGAAACTTGGGTTAATTTTGCTCAGAATATCCAGAGTTAGCCACTAGGCTGCGGGTGAAATGGGATGGAGAAGAGCAGCAGGCTCTCTGGAGCCACATGGGCTGACTAGGGCACTCTGTGGCTGGCCTGGCACGGGCTCAGCCCGGGAAGAGGAGGAACGATCCCTTGCCTGCCCCGTCCCTGTGGCAGGGCTAGCTGCCTGGCCCTCTCGGCTTGTAGCCAGTCAGCCCCTCTGGCAGCAGGTTCTCCTCAGGGCTTAGGTCTTGAACCTGTGGCGGCAGGAGGCAGGGCAGACTGTGGAGGACGGGATGCAGGTCGGGGAGAGGGAAGGCAGGGGTGGACCGCCCTGAGCATGAAAAGACCCCAAGCAAGTTGACTCTTGCAATGTGCAACTGTTATGTTCTGCAAAATGAGCAACGATGTATCAAATTGATGCAAATTTAGATGTTGATACTTACAATAAAGTTTTTAATGTGTTTTACTCTTCAGTATTTTTCTGTCAGACTTGTACAAGTAAAGCCTTGTTCCAGGCTATGCATTTACCAGTCAACCAAATCCTCCGCACTGCTCGTCTTTCTTCAGAAGACTGAGTGCTTGTTTGAAGTGAGTGAAGCGCTTTTGTTCCTGTAAGTAGCACTGCCCACAGAACACCCCAGGTCAGTGGCATTACCTGTGGAAACCTGGAAGCTGGGTCTCACTGAGGCTGCCTGGGGCCACTGAGCTGCTCAGAAATGGGGTCAAGGTGACTTTCTTGGAGCCCCGCTGGTCCCACACACAAGCCCCTCCTTGAATCTGAGTTGCGCCACGTCAGGTTGAAAGGAACGATTGACGGTGGTGGATATGTCCCTGACCTCGTTCACTAACCAGGCCTCATTCATCACCTGAGAGGGCTGAGCAAAGCCATGCGGGTCTGACCTCTGAGGCAAACCAAAATCCACTCTCTGTGTTCCCCGTGCAAAGGGGCACAGGCAGAGAACAACCAAAAATACACCCCTCCTGCATGCCACCCCTTCAAACAGCACCTAGCCAAGTAAAACCAAACCACAGCAAAGGTCTCCCTTGGAGACTGGGGGGCAACAAATAGCCCCTTTGCAAGTAGCTAATTAGAGGCCTCAGTTCACACCTGCCAGCTGTTCTTGAGTGTTTGCTGATCAGGATTCCCTTGGGAATGAGATTGTATTTTGGAGACCTTTGTCCTGCCCACGGGAACCTTAGTGACCCTCTGTGTCGGTTCTTTACAGAGTAGAGGATTGAGGACCTAAGTAGTGGCAGAGCTGGGAGACAACTACAGGCTTGGTTTGTTCTCTTTAGTTCTTTGAGCCTCTTTCCCAGTTCCTCGCAGCTGCCAAGACCTCACCTTTGCAGTGGTGGCCCGTGATTCTCCATCCTTGTCATGCAACTGCCAGGCCACTCTCCCTCCATCACCACCTTCTGGACAGTCTCTCACACACACACAAACACACACACACACACACACACACACACACACACACACACACGTCTACCTTTTCACGCTTGGCCATGTTTTCTGTCTTACTGGGGTTCGCGTAGCTCACGCACTCTTGCTTCCTGCAAATATTGACACAAAAGCATTGACACAGGCATTCCCGGCAGAAGTCTGAATACCTGAGAGCTCCCCCACCTCTTGTCAAAACACTGGGACTCTTCAGACTGATGGCACCCGCGAGGAAGACCTGTGGAGCCATGCCAACCAGAGGAGGGCGCCAGTGAGCCGCTTGACTCAGCTTCCTAAGGTCTAGAAAAGGTTTAGCCTTTTGATTTTGTGCACACGGTAACAGATTGGGCTTAATTTTCGGGTGAGCAGATTTATAGATTGTGAAATGAGAAAAGGAGGGAAGATTGTCCATAGTGACCCCTTGCTCCTGACATTAAGGAAAGCCTGCCTGTAAAGTTCCAAATCATAAAGCTAGAGTGAGTTTGGGTTAGAAAGGTGGAGATGTTAGGGAAATTGAGTACAAAATTGTGAACACACTCCAGTGTCATTTAGAATATTCTGTGAGTCCCTGAGTTTATGTTCCTACAGTTGTTCTTAAGTTGAAATGGAAGTGTCTAAACTATAGACTTAAGAATTTTATCAGGCCGGGCGCGGTGGCTCAAGCCTGTAATCCCAGCACTTTGGGAGGCTGAGACGGGCAGATCACGAGGTCAGGAGATCGAGACCATCCTGGCTAACACGGTGAAACCCCGTCTCTACTAAAAAGTACAAAAAATTAGCCGGGCGAGGTGGCGGGCGCCTGTAGTCCCAGCTACTCGGGAGGCTGAGGCAGGAGAATGGCGTAAAAACCCGGGAGGCGGAGCTTGCAGTGAGCTGAGATCCTGCCATTGCACTCCAGCCTGGGCGACAGAGCGAGACTCTGTCTCAAAAAAATAAAAATAAAAGAATTTTATCTTAACCTGAGGGCTTACCTGATATTTAATTTGTGAGAATCAGGAGTAGTTTCTTCACTTCCAAGTTCCCCTAACCAATAGCCAATAGTGTTTTTGTAAAGGGGTGGACCAAGAATGCCAAAATGGGCTTTCCAGCTCAGACTAAAATTCCAGCTCTTAAGACTGAAATCTTACACGTGATAAAAATTGCCAGAAGCATGTGAATTTATAACCTGCCCATATAGCCCTGTCTGATGCAGAAACAACCCCACTAGCTACATTTGAACAATGCCACGAATAGACCTGGGATTCAGGTAGAAGGGATGGGGGAAGTGGGCACTGGATGTTGGAAATCAGTCTGAACAGAGGCGGGGACTAGAGAGCCAAATCGCAAGTCCTGCTCTTGGGATAATGGAGTGAATCAGGGAAATAGGAGAGAGGAGGGCTGAGGATGGAACCCTGAGGAATTCAGCATCTGGAGAGGAGGAAGAGGCAGAGAGGCGGCAGGAGGATCAGGAGAGGGCAGCTCAGGTGGGGATGTGGGAGAGTCAAGGGTTGGGGACGCTACTGTTGGGAAGGGCAAGGGCAAGGGCCGAGTGGTGGTGGCTTCCAGAGGAAATTTAAGGACCGGTGAGAAGGTGGAGGTGGGGCACAGGCTCAACAAGGACACTTGGCAGAGGGGAAGGGGAGAGCCAGGGACAGAGACCATGAGATCCAGGCCCAGAATGGGGTGCAGTCACAAGCCACGAAGTGGGGTACCACAGAAACGAGAAGCATGCTTCGTTCAGTCCCCTGGACCTAGAGGAAGGAGAAGATGAAGGGCAAAATGAGGTGCGAAGGCGAGGAAACTCCTGTCCTGGAGTCTTTAGCTCCATAATAGAGGAGGGCCTGGGGGCTAACAGAGCGGACGGACATCTTCAAATGAGAGAAGCATGAAGGATCTACATTGGCCAGAAACAATGGCTTTGGCCTCTTTTTTATTTTATTTTATTTTATTTTTATTTTGAGACACAGTTTCACTCTGTTGCCCAGGTTGGAGTGCAGTGGTGCGATCTCGGCTTACTACAACCTCTGCCTCCCAGGTTCAAGCAATTCTCCTGCCTCAGCCTTCCAAGTAGCTGGGATTACAAGCACACACCACTACACCCAGCTAATTTTTGTATTTTAAGTAGAAAAGAGATTTTGCCATGTTGGCCAGGCTGGTCTCGAACTGCTGACCTCAGGTGATCCGCCACTTGGCCTCCCAAAGTGCTGGGATTACAGGCATGAGCCACCATGCCCGGCCCTCTTTTGTTTATTAACTGCAGTGTTGTGGTCTGCTGAACCCCCTGCTTAATGGGAATTTCAAATATCCTAGAGATTTACACAATGCCAAGAAACTAGCTGGAGTGTGTAGGTCCCTGATAGCCAGTCCACAATTCCCAGGGAAGTTGATCAGTTCTGTGACCTTTCTGGAATGTTCTGTGTGAGCTGCCCTGGGAGTCTGAGTAGACTTGGAGTGGGAGAGAAGAAAGGAACCTAGGTATTGGAGGAGGAGTAGGGGAGAGAGGTCTGCAATAGGAATCTCCCCAGACCAACACCAGCAAATTGAGTTACGACCCACCATAGTCCTCACCCGCACACAAAAATCGTTTAGGGACAGGGGGCTGTCCCCAAATGGTCAGACCCACAGATTCCAGGGCCTCCAACTTCACCACAGCGAAACAGAAGCAGCAGCAACAGTCCTGCATGACCTCCAGGCAGGACTGGAGAAAACCTCCAGCATCGCACTCAGCCCAGGCACAGGGGACTCTCCCCAAGCTGACCGCACCCTTGCCCAGCTGCTTCTCCCCAAGGGTCTGTCTGTTCTGAAACACAGGGGGCTCGCAGGTTCCTAGAATGCTGGAACTAGAGAACATTTATCTGGTGTAGCCCACCTCTTCAGCTGAGGAGACAGGTCAGAGAAGGTGCCAGGGTAACTCGGCCGGGGTCCCAAGGGCCATGATGGGCTTGAGGCCAAAGTCAGCTCCCTGAGCCAGGCCTGTCCTCAGCCCTCCTCTGGCTGCTTCGGGCCTCCCCTCAACCTAGGCAGTGGGAGGAGAGCAAGAAGGTCCCCAGGGTTGGCCCTCAGACTCCTCTTGGGACTGTCCTGCTCCCTCATCCCACCCACACCGCACCCAGCAGCACCCACGGCTCCTCTTCAGGCCAGCCCTCATTGCCGTCTGCGCAAGAGGGGAGCCCGGAGCGATGTGGCAGTGAAACACGGGCCCGATTCTCCCCTGGGGCCAGCGTTTTCTTCCAAACCCACTACCTCTGCCTGAAGCTGTGTCCGCCTGGCTGTCACCACAGGCAGAATGGGAGACTCGGGCCTTGGAATCAAAGGTGCTCTCCTGCCACGCAGGATGATGACCCCATGACATGCTAAAGTGGGCTTGTGGTGACACAGTGTCTCCTGAGATTCAGCTTGCCTTGAAGACAATTCACCTTTGCAAAGGTGGCCAGTTGGAACCTGAGCAGAAAGCTGGATTTGCTGTTGGGTTTTCCCCAGAGGATGTGCAGCCATGGAGCCTTTGCACACCACTTTGCCTCCACCAAAGACAGACCCAGGCTCAGGGAAGCATGGAGACTGCGGATATCAGGCAAGGCCTGGGAGAGCTTCCCTCGCTTCTGTCCAGTGTGTTCACCAGCCCGCTGTAAAGGGAGGAGTTGCCAGAGGCTCTGGGAACACCAAAGGCAAGGGCCCCGGGGACTGGCTTCTTGCTCCTTGGGAGCCCAGGGAAGCCACTTCTTCCCCTTCTGATCAGCCCTGCCCCATCAGAGATGGCTCTGCTCCCCGGTGGGAGAAGCTCCTGCCATCCTCTGCCTTCCCCTGTCCCTAGACAATCACGTCGGAGCCCACGTGATGGACTTTTCTGTTTAACAAGGCTTTCAGTGCTTCATGGGGCTATAGGCAGTTTTGCTCTTTTGCTATCTTGGCAGTTCTGTGTACAGAGTTCCTATCATACAATGCTAATATGATGTTAGACAGAAGCACCATATTATATCCAGAAGCCGATCAGCCTAAAACTATCGATGCAGATTTTGTAAAACCCACATTTGTGTCACCTATGGCTGACCCCAGTTTTTCATATGAATAAAGCTGTCTGGAACCACAGAGATCTTTTGCAAAATAGGCAGTGTCTTTG